CTAAACTTTCTGAAACGAATCTAAACTTTCTGAAACGAATCTAAACTTTCTGAAATGAATCTAAACTTTCTGAAACGAATCTAAACTTTCTGAAGTGAATCTAAACTTTCTGAAACGAATCTAAACTTTCTGAAACGAATCTAAACTTTCTGAAATGAATCTAAACTTTCTGAAATACTGACGTGTTGAGTGGAAAATGTTGAAACTAATAAAAACAGCAGTAACGGGTCTTAAAACAGATAAATATGAAACTTTACCTGCTTTGAGAGCCAGAGCTCAGAGCTTTCTTCATGTCTCTGAAAAACAAAATAATATCAATAATTCTCTCTGATCATGAAACTGTGGCACAAACTCCAACATTCACGCTGTTTGTTCTAATGATGTCAGAGTCTGAGCAAAGCGCTTCGTTTCTTATTGATTCTGGACTTGGGGCTCGTCTGTCGCGGATTAAAAACCCGTTCTGTTTGTTCCAGCCGGCCTTTGGGAACATCGTTTTCAGTCTGCTTCCTTCGCTTGGCAGCGCGAGGATTCTGGGCGCCGTGTCCAAACCTCGAGCTCGGCCCGTTCTCGGCTCAAACGTTTTATGTTTTTTGCAAATCAGAGAAAACGAGGAGCTGCAGAATCTGGATTTCATCCCGCTGAGTCCCACAGTTCAGCTGCCGGGTTAATGATGGACCGTTTTGTCCAACACGTGGAGGACAGAAGGGGGGGTGCCTCCGCAGGTGCTGCAACAATCAGCCAGAAATGAGTTTTCAACAACAAACACATTGAAGGTTTAATTTTTAAAACTCTGAGAGACTGAAATTAAACATCCAGCTTTCTTTGTCATGATTCAGCTTCAACGTCCAGGAGGACAAAGACAGTCCTGACTCCTTGGTGGAGTCTTCCAGAGACTTGAGACTGAGACAGAAGTCCACCTTCCAGCAGGGCGAAGACCCTGGACTCATCCCTGAGGGACGCCACTGGTTTAAGGAGGTCCAGACCAGCTGAGAGTGATGGACACAAACAGCCCGAGCTGAAGGAGCTGAAGGTGTTTGGACAAAAGGTCCAGGAGCTCCTGGAGGGAAACCCGTCTGACTCCTGGGGGATGAAGAGTTTTGCACGCTCAGGTTTAAGCCATAATAGAAATATTGTTGTTTTTTAATTAAAACATACGAACCACGTTAAATTTATTTAAAGTTCCAGAAAAGTTTAAAAAAAGTTGAGAGGACGTCGAGGGGGTGAAAACTTTTTGTTTCTGTTTTTCATTTATAATCATCTAAAGTTTATTGTTTTCTAAATATGAAACTTTTGTTTCTTTGTAAATATTTGCAAATAAATATAAAAATGTAAATGTAGAAGTTAAAATTTTTATTTTTGTGTGAATGTTTGTGAAGCATTCACACTGTTGTGATCCACTTTTCTTTCGTACATTTTTCAGCTTCTTTCTCGTTCCACAGTTTTTGTGCAGTTTCAACAAATCATGAATCAAAACGTTCGGCTGTTTCAGGACAATCCTGCGTTGACTTTTGGTGTCGGTCCAACTTTAGCTCTTTAAAATATTTAACCTTTTCTGTCATTATTTTTCTTGGAAAATGAAATGAGCTCATTTTACATCCTTGAAATCTTTAGATGTGTTTACAACTTTTTACTGCTCCTTTCACATTTTGTTCTGCTTCGGCTTCTTTCAGCTTCCTTCTGCAAATTTAAACTATTTTTCCATCTAATTTCAGCTGTTTTTTTTTTTCAGCTGTTTCATGCTCCCTTCAGATTATTTCTGCTAACTACAACATTTTTGTGTTTCTTCTTTCTGTTATTTCAGCTTGTTATGCGTCTTTCTGCTAAGTCCTGCAAGTTGAAGCTTGTTCTATTTCAGTACTATTTAGCTGTTCTTATGCTAATTTCAGCTTTTTTGTCTAATTCCACATTTTTGCACTCATTTTAACTTTTTCCAGCCTAATTCATTAAAAATGTGCTTTCTCCACTTCCTTCTGGTAATTTAAGCTTCTTTTTGTTTTTTTAGCTACTTTTCAGCAGCTTTTTTTTGTTGATAATTTCAGCTTCTTTTAATTTCCACGTTTTTTTTGCTATTTTCTGCTTCTTTCAGCCTAATTGGGCAAAAAAAACAAACTGCTTTTGTCTGCTAATTTAAGCTTGTTCTACATTTTCAGCTAATTTTAGTATGTTTTTTTTTTAGCTGTTTTTACCTAAATTCTATTTTTTGTGGTAATTTCTGCTACTTTCAGCCTAATTAACTTCTCTATGTTAATTTCAGCTTCTTATGCTCCTTTTAGCTTTTCTCTGCTAAATTAAGCTTCTTAGCTGTTTTCATGCTAATTTTATTTTTTCAGCTAATTCCACATTTTTTAGCTAATTTCAGCTCTTTCCGTTCTTTTTTGGTAATTTAAGCTTCTTTTTGCCTTTTCAGCTACTTTTCAGCTTTTTTGTGGGTAATTTCTTCTTATTTAATCCTAATTCAGCAAAAATGTGTTCTTTCTGCTCTCTTCTGCTAATTTACGCTTGTACTTCCATGTCAGCTACCTTTCAGCATTTTTTTTTAGCTAATTTCAGCTGTTTTTCAGCAAGTTCTTCAGCAGTACGCTTCATTTTTGCATGAAATGCAATTCATCTGGTTTTATGTGGAAACGTGTCGGAACCGGTTGAAACTAAACTCGTTGAAGATGTTTAATCGTTTTCTGTCTTTAGAACATCTGTAGCCAGAAATAAACCAGCAACCATGAAACTGCAGCCTTCAGCTGAAATGACAGCCGAGCTTTAGCCTTTTGTCTCCTCGGCTGTGTGAAAGCTGAATCTTATCTCGAGAGCTTAAGGCGTCGCAGGTTCGTCACAACGAGAGCGGCTCAGAAACGGAAGCTGCGAGTTGAGACGAGTCGCCGCTGGGCGGATCGAGTCGTTACAAACGAGATAATCGACGACGCGCGACTCGATTGACTTTTTATAAAGTTCTGCTCAATAATTCTGCTGATGTCACTGAAGACGCGTTTAATTTGCTCTTCGATCGTCAAACTCCAGAGAAGTTCTTTTCTCCGGATCAGACTGGAGCGCCTTTATCTCACCTGGAGTTGAACATATTCCAGTGTGAGCGCAGCCGACGGCGTTCGTCTGCAGAACTGATCAAAAGGTCAACGAGGGTCACGCAGGTCGACGCTTTCTGTTCGGCTGAATGAATTATTGGCTCGCTGCTGCTCGGAGAGGAAAACTAAACCATCCAGCTTCAGAGCAGGCAGTGGAGAACGTGGAGAACCATCCGTGGTTCTACCAGAACGTGACGGTTCGATCCCCGTTTGCTACCAAGAGAAACACGAAGCTCTGCAGCAAAGCAGGAACAGGAAGTTCAGATGAAACTCGGGAGCTTAAAGATCTGCTCGTGTGCTTCAGAACATCTCTGCGGTCCGGTGAGAGCGAGAGGTGGATGTACGGCAAGTCCAACAGGTCAAAATCAGGTGTGGTACGGGAGGTCAGAAGGGTCATAATTGGTGCGCTTTAAAAACAGCTTTGAGTAAAAACTGCTGAAAATAACGTGATTAGGTTGTAAATCTGCTCCACCGGTGGATGGACGGCACAAAGAGCTCAGCTAGCTAAGATACGTGTGACTGACGTCTCTGTTAGCAAAATATCGCTTGAACAACTGGATAAAATTTAATGGACAACAGTGTTTCCTCTTGTTTACTTGGCAGGGCGCTCATATCTTTCTTGATTTATATCGACGGGTGAGTGGGGTGGTGGTCTAGATGGAGACATGTCTATGTTGCAAGCTGCGTGCTTGTACCAACAGTTTTTTTTGGGGGGGGGGACGGCTCAGCGGGAAACAGAGCGCTACCTCCATAAACGTAGCTTTTTAGCTAGCACGTCTGTATTGCGTTCCGCTAGCTTAGAGCTACGTCAGTTGTTGACGGGGGTGGGTTTCAGTGGGCGGGGCGCCCTGCTTGTATGACGGTAAGAGAAACACTGGACAATGAAATGATCACCGGTTCGATAATGTTTTCATCGGCGTGATTCAAGATTTGACCTGTCACGATAACAAATGTTGCTGTTGTCGATTAATTGTCTCAGAAATTATTGCGATAAATGATGATGTTTGAAATTTGACAATAATTAGTAATTATTGTCAATTTTAAGAAGAAATGTTGGTTAATTTTATTTTGACTGTAGTACCTTTTTGGACCACCAGATGGCAGTATAAGACTGTTTAAACCAGAAGATGGATAGTGAGGGAGCGAGCAGCGTGTCTCTTTAAGAAGAGGGAGGCCCCTTGACGTGACATGGGCTGTCTCGCCTTCCTGCTTTTCGGTTCTCAAAATGGTGGACGCTTGGTGTGGTTTGAGCTCTTTAGCATTTTTCACACAAAGCTTTTAATAAAAAAATCAGTAAACAAGTTTTCAGCAGAGAAAAACAACTTTTTACACGAAGACACGGGTTTCAACCGTGAATCTAGGCGCTTCGACAAGACACAGGTTTTTCCCCGAGGTCGACCCGTTAGCTTAGCTGCTTTTAACAGATTTTAAAGAGAAAGGGAGGAGTCAGTGACGAGCACCGGAGTTGAGCTTTTTGTCGTCCAGTGTCTTCAGTAGAAAGAGAGACACGAAGAAACGATAAATTAAACGAGGTTGATCATTTTCATTAATCATGCGATTAATTAATTTATTGTTTATCGCGACAGGCCTATTCAAGATGGCTGCTGTATCCAACTGAACTTATGAATCACAAACGTGGCTCTAACCTGGTCAGTTTTCCAGACACTGAGCTAAGATGTGGTGTGGTAGTAGCTGGGAGTCATCCCCAACAGATACTCTGAGGGCCAACAGCTCAGACTTCGACTCTGAAACTTGAACCAAACCACAGAACCCGTTGGCGTCGTGACGTCAAGCGTTTTGTTTAAGCGGCAGGAAGCCGCTCGCTCTTTAGACGCTGACGTTTTAATTTCATCGCGATCAGAAACGGGACAAAGACGCACCGTGACGCAGGCGCCGGTGGTGGTGTCGCACACCGTCAGGATGGAGATGTTCTGGGCTCGGTTCAGCCACCTCACCGCGGTCCTGGTCTTGCTGATCCACTTCACCATGGTCACATAATGTTCCCTGAGAGGAGAAACGGTGAAATCACTAAACGGACGAACTGCATCAGTCCTGAAGTTTCAACTCTTAAAGAAACCTTTTCTAGATTAGAGGCGGAGCTGTTCAGAACACGAGCATCCTAAAAGAGTCGTTACGTTATAAATGATATAAACGTGACGTTATTAAACATTAGAGCCTCCAAAAACCCTGCAAGGCCTTCCTGAAGGCTCAGCGTCCCGTGTGTTTGCCCCGCCCACTCCACATCAACACTGATTGGTTAATTTTCCTGTCAGTCATTAAACAAACTCCTCCTGCAGAGACTCTGACTGAGCTCAGCCTTCTCTGCTGACCCTGAAGTCCTGACCAATGAGAGCTCCTTCAAGCATGTTCCTGCCTGGAGACAAGACATTTAAAAGAATCCGATTGGATTTTCATCAATTAAAATGTTTCTTGCTCAACTGCTAAGTAGTTTACACATAATAACGAGAAACTAACAACAAACAGAAAAGCTACAGATAAATAAATATAAAGAAATGTAAATGTAACATCATCATTATGTCAAATCCAGAATAGAATTCAAAATCTTACTTCTAACCTACAAAGCCCTCAACAACCTAGCTCCATCTTATATTACAGATCTTATTGTTCCATATTTTCCTAACAGAGCACTCGGTTTCAGACTGCAGGTTTACTTGTGGTTCCTAGAGTTTCCAGAAGCAGAATGGGAGGAAGATCTTCCAGTTCTCAGGCTCCTCTCTTGTGGAACCAACTTCCAGTTTCTGTCCATGAGGCTGACACGTGGACCAGTTTAAGACTTTCCTTTTTGATAAATCCTATAGTTGGGGTCGGCTTGGGTTTCCTGAGCTCTCTTAGTTACGCTGCTATAGGTTTAAACTGCTGGAGGACAAACTGACCACGTTTCTTTGCTCCGCTGCTGTCGTTACTTGTTTTACTCAACCGGTTTTATTTTTGTAATTATTTATATCCTTGACGTGTTTTTTGACTTTCTTCCAACAGGAGGTGCACCTTCACCTGCACCTTCACCTGCACCTTCACCTGCACCTTCACCTGCACCTTCACCTTCACCTGCACCTTCACCTGCACCTGCACCTGCACCTACACCTGCACCTTCACCTGCACCTTCACCTGCACCT